CCCTCCCCCCCTCGGCCTCATCCATCATCGCCCTGCAGAGGCCTGCTCAAGCCAGTCGAAGTGTCCAATGGAGGAGGGCCCCTGGGGATCCACGTAGTGCCGCTCAGTTCGCACGATATCAGGTAAAAAAGAGATTGCAACATTTGAATCAAAGCAGCTTAGTGCGCAACAATAGCTCGTTAGTTTTACCATCCAGTGTGCCTCCTGCTTCCTTCGGTTTGAAGGCCTGTGGATGTTGCTTTCTTGTTGCGTTTACTCATCATTTCCCTCTTATATTTCTTTTTCTCACTCTGTTCTTTCTTATTCACCTCTTTTAACATTTTACTCCGGGTGTTTTTTTTCACTGACTGATTGTTCTCGCCGTCTTTTTGTTTTGTGAGTCCCACTTCCAAAGCACTACGCCCATACCCAGCAATACTCATATATGAAAGGCCAGAAGCCCCCAGTGGGAAGAAACACAGATGAAAGCAGCTCTGCTCTTGACTGCATGCAGTGTCCTCAGTCACAACGGTGTCTGCTCTGCCTTGAAGGTGCTTTCTTTTGCCCTTTTATTTAAACATGTGAGTAGTGTCAATGACAAGGGGACGAGAGGAGCATACATCCCAGTTTTACAATTGTTCCAGAAAAATAAAGGAGAGAGGAAGTAGCCAGATGTAATCAAACTAAAAGCTTGTGTATAACACAGATCCCCGCTGCAGGCCAAGGGACTGGCACAGCACCAAGGTGAATGTGACTACTCAGCGCTGGGAAAGAGGAGGGGGGCCGGGGGTTGAACAGACAAAGTGAGGAGATGGAATGGGATGACATTTGAGGGAGAGAAGCTGGCTGTCATTGAAGACTGCTGCGTGTCATTTCTTTGGGACACTAATCCCATTGCTGTTTATAAGCAAGTGTCAGGAAACTATATTTAGCTCTGACCTCGTGCTATTGACTCCTTTAAAAAGCTGTGGCAGTCTGAGATATCCTGAGTCAGAGGAAGAAAATAATGATTCATGATGATTCGCACTCAGCAATATCGCCTGAATAAAGTTCAAATCCAACATTTATTAGGCACGCTATTATCCTTAAGCTCTTCCCACAACTGCATCTTACAAGATAGAGCGGTAATGCTGCATTGTGAGTAGATTTCTTCTCCATCAGCCAAGGTAGGCACTAATAGCCATCAGAGCCTTCAATTAACTTCAGACATGATAAGACTTAGTGTCTGGTCAGTGGGATGATGCTAATGGCCCGGCCCAGCTCCTTCCTGTGTGCTGTGCGCTAGGACAGGAGGCATTAGCCTCAGCGGGCTGTCATTAGTGTCTAGACCAGTGCCACAGGGGTCAGACAGACAGCGAAAGCAGACAGCAAACAAGGAACTGCAGGCGCTCCAACGTCGCCTGATCGCATTCTGCTCCACTGTACTGACATCAAGTTAGATCCAAGCAGGAGGGGCAGACAGCTCCAGGAGAGAGCTTAGAGACTCTCTATCTCTCACAAACACAACCAACTGCACATACCTTACACCCATGCAGTGAAGAGTATGGACTTACCTCCAGCAGTGTGTTCCCGAAAGGATTTTTGCTATCACTTTCTTTTTCTTACACACACGCAAACTGTATTTTAAGCAGTGCTGATCTGCCTTGAATGCTGCGCACATACATATACTGTACATCTGCACGCTCAAATACACACGCCCATCGCAGATGCATTCTTTGCTTAATGAACTTCTCATCCCATGACCAGTTTCGATTGTAAACAAACTGCGGACATAATTGCCGTGCATAAATAGATCCTGATTGGATTATTATTTGATTAGAGGCAGGAGACGAGAGCAGGTGGCCTCCTTCAAATCAGTTGTCAGCACCGCTGCCCAGCCACAAGATGGAGTAAGGCCATGCAGTTTTGTGCAATGCTGATTCTTATGTTTGAGAAACACTGACATTTAGCAGGCTAGATGTATTTCCTGATGTTTGTAACTACAAACTCCATGTGCTCATATCCAATACCTAATTAATTCACTGACTAACAGTCTGTGGGAAAATACCTTTTAGATTTTTCTTTAGCTCTCCTGCTTTTTACCCAAGAGCTTGAAAACTATCCACAAAAAAAGCCATCAGTGAGATGAGGAGGAATTGAGTTGGAAGTGCATTACAGCCATCACAATAATAGTGCTTTTACTAAATCATCTTCTTCAAATCTCTAAAAGATGCTGCTTTGCCCCTAATCCTCCCTGTTGCTGCTTTGAATACTGATCAGGGATCAACCAAAACTCTTGTATCTACTGTCTCTGCTCTGCTAGCAGATCAGGAGTCATTAGAGTGTGTCCATGATGTAATCTCCGTTCGCAATACTTTGTTTTCAAGCTGCCAACACTTATGGAGATAAAGCACAATCATGTCCGCTTCCACGCGGCCCGCAATTACTCTCTGTTCAACACACTTAAGCTGACCTGGCAACGCCGGCTCGGACACCGAGAAAGAGGGAAGGGCCTCTTGTGATCTTTCATTTCAACTTAATGCTGAGCCATTTCCCCCCATTGACGAGCTGAGATGAGTCTGTGGTGAGAGCGTGGATGTCCACATTAAGCAGCCAATTAGACCAATGTTCAGAGAGTGGCCCTGTTTGGCTGAAATGCTAAAGAGCTCGAAGAATCTGCCCTTGACGTCTGTAGTAAACAGGGTCACAATGAAATGTGCTGTTGTTTATGAGTCCAGTAAAACAACAGGAAGTATCAGGAAATTATGAGAATCAGGCAGCATATGTCCTTGCCATGGATAAGCTGTCAGCTGCCCTGTAAGCGACTGTATCTACATCTTTGGCTCCGGAATAGTTTTGGCTCCGTTATATTTCATCATTATTTTTAATTTTTCCAAAAGTAAGCTTCCAAACTTTTTGTCAGTTATTGCAAGGACACCAAATGTTTGCACTCAGTCAGTCTACCTGCTACCTCAGGCATATTGGGCCTTAGAGACGGATGGAGTTTGTAGTTCTGCTGTGCGAGCGCACATCAGATCTCTTTGCATGTGGTTATCCTCAGGGCCTAACTAAAGCCCCAAGGAGCTCACTGATGTATTTATCTAGGAGAGGGAGTGAGGGGAGGGGGGGGGTATTTGAAGGTAAAGGTTGCCTTCTTTTAAGGGATTGCTGGGATGGCCCTGCTGTGGAACTGCCTGAGTATTTATTATAACACTGCCGGCTCTCGTATTAAGCTCCAGTGAAGGAAACTGCAGCGTTTCCTCTGCAGCCATGAGATGATCTCTTAGCTGCTGGTCTGGATTACCCCAGACAAACCGCCCTGTCATTCTCTCAAACCTGCCCACAGAAAGGCAGATAGAGTGGAGGACAGAGGGACGGACACCGGCTTAAAATGTTGTAAATCAGTGGTTCTCAGGAAAATGTTAGTCTTTATCTAAACTCAAAGTTTTGAAAGTTAACTTAAAAAAGGTTAACCCACATCAACAGGAAACTTCTTTAAGGGATATTTTATTCCATCCTCTTTCCTATTACATCACTTTATTAGATATTAGGGACTGCTCCTGCCATACTTTTTAACAATGCCTATTTCAGATATGCATTAGCCGCTTATATTTAATTACTGTTTGTACACCTATTACGGCTACTATAATGGCCAAGGACATTTTTAGATGTATGCATATCTGTTAGGCCAAAACTAAATGTCCACGTTCAATGTTGTTTTTGTTTAGTTGACAGCATTGAGCAGAAGTAAAGTACATTATGATTAACTTAAAGTTACTCTCTTGACCTAATTACACTACCTCAGCATCTGTTGGGGCTAAAAAAAAACACTTGCAGCTCTCTGTTGTAATGTTGTTTGAAAACAACCAACTCTGGGTAACTACAGTAATCATTTATTTTCTCACCTTATGCTTACCACCTAGCTCGTCGTCTAATTCACTTCCTTTTTTCTTTGCTGGTCTCCTGTTGACTCTCATTACCTTTTTCTAAATAGGAGGATGCGGGGATGTAGCCTGCAACTTGCTGCCTGCTGCTCAGTATATTAATATGTCACTGTGTCTCCTAACTACTACAGTATGTGTCTCAACGATGTGTTATCTCTAACATGATGTGTGATCCTTCACAGGACGCAAGGCTTGCTGGTTAAGCGTCTGGAGCCAGGGGGAAAAGCCGAGCAGGAGCGGCTCTTCCAGGAGAACGACTGTATCGTCAAAATCAATCAGGGAGACATTCGCCACCTACGCTTTGAACAGTAAGCTCTGAGTTCCACCCTTTATTCATGATTATATATCTTACTTAATTTCTTATAGTGGTTCCAAACATATATAAGACATACAGTGTTATCCTGGTGCACTGTCTCAGTAATACGGTTGAAACTGAGAGCACTGTGTTAGGCATACATAGCAGTATACAATCTTGCTTTCTATAACTTGAGCCAATCATTCAGCCGCACAATAAAACATAAATATTACTGACTTTCTTGACCCTCCTGTAATAGGTTTCCCTGAGTCACAGTCCTTCAGCCCGCCGAACCCTACACTTCTCTCTCCATTTGTTTATATCGATTCATCGCTCGTATTCATCCCTTAAAGTGGAATGAAGATTTCACCTGGGACTTTTCCACCCATTTACCCAAAGCCACCCTTCTCCCTCTCACACACGCATCACCTTAATGTGCCCAATCTCACACATACTTGCACATGCAGTGACACGTACACAAAGTTAGAGTAAGCTTTAACATCTTATCTACACTTGTCTTTGTGTGTGTGTGTGTGTGTGTGTGTGTGTGTGTGTGTGTGTGTGTGTGTGTGTGTGTGTGTGTGTGTGTGTGTGTGTGTGTGTGTGTGTGTGTGTGTGTGTGTGTGTGTGTGTGTTTGAGAGAGACAGATTGCTTCTCATTCTCACTAGACTCTGGTGGAAAAGCTGGATTACCTCTCACAAAGTCCCCAAAGTGGGATGGATATTAAAAAACACCTTGGTTTAGTTCTAGGTGGAGTCAGAGACAAAGAGAGAAAAGTATTTTCTTTACGCAGGCATACCTTAAAATGTTACAACCAACTTTGGCAAAGATTAGAGAAGCCCTCCGCAGTTTGTGAAACTCCCGACGATCACGGTTACCTTACAGCATTATGTTAATGTATTCATCTGACTGTGTATAAAGCCACTAAGGGTTTAGGATTTTTTTTTTTTTTAAAACGATGCTATTGTCATTAGTAAACATCCCGGTTTCCTTCCAAACCTTTCCACTGTGAAAGAGGCTTACAAACAAAATCCACTAGGGAGTGATGTTTTGTAGCGTTCCGCACTTACCTCCCCACCGTGCCAAACACACGTTNCCCCCCTTCTGATGGTGCCTCGCAGAGAGTGACAATTTAAAGTGATAGTCTAATCTCCTTGGATTGTTTTGCATGGGTAAATATTTTGAGGCGCTTAATCTAACTGAATGTAATGATGCATTGATGGGGTAATTTATTATTCAATCAGGCTTGCGTGGAGGCTGATTACTGAAGTGATGGCACTGTATATGTGCAGGTGCGCACACAAACACGCATACACACACACTTACTCACTCAGTCAGCGCTCCTCAGTGTGCACATGAGAGTGATTTTTGTAAATTACCATAAGAATAAAGATGGGAGAGGCCAAATCCTGCAGAAGTGGCTTGGTGCAGCGTGCGCGCCTCGCCTCTGTGACTCTGCTCAAATGAAGTGCTGTCTGTTGTGGCAGAAGCAGCTTAGCCGCTGTCATTTGGATGCAATCAGCATGGTATTTCTGGCGTGGTAATGCGGGTTTGGAAACAGGAGGTGGGATTGTTGGAATCCAGAAATCCACCGCATCTCTGGCCCCTTATGCTGCAGCATGGCTCGCTCCTGGTGAGCCTATCTATATGCTAAGTGCTACAGGCAAACCAGACTAAACAATTCATGCGTCTGGGAATCATGTTGAGCTCTTGTCTTGGCTTATTCGGCCCCAAAAGTCACATGAGAATGAGTGTGTGTTTTGGCTGTGTTTTTCTTATTTTGTTTGTAAGGAGAGAAGTGTGTGTCTGCTTACTTTGGAACCTCATTGTCTGGAAAGCTTTCTTGATGCATGATTCATTACTTCTGTTCTGATTATGGAGTCAACTCATGTCCACACAGAAACAGAGACTACTATGCCATTAAGACACTTAAATACCCCTCATCCAGCATTTCAGTAGCATAATATTAAATACATCATTTATATTTTCTCATTGATGACTCACCTTTCTTATCTCATTGCTGGCTTGATGCTGGTAATTATAGATAATGCAATTTGTGTCCTTTACTGTGAGTAGCCCTGTGATTAGCCATGCTAACCTCATATCTCCTTATCTTCTCCCAACATACAGCACCACATAGCCTCTGTTATCCTTCTATATCTGGCAAGCTATCATACTACATTATTGTACTTGTATATCTTATCATGTTAAATCTAATTTACTTCTGTTTGCATGACCTCACTGCTCTCTTTCACTTTCTCTGTATCACCTCCAGAGCCCAGAACATTTTCAAGCAGGCGATGCGTGGCCAGGCTATCCTCTTCCATGTCGTCCCCGCGGCCTTCAAAAGACATTACGAGATGCTGTTTATCCAGAGCGAGCTCAGCCCGCCCCATCCCAACAGAGTCCGCTTTAGCCAAGATTCTCAACCGCCGAGGGACAGGTCCAGTCTTGTGGGGGGGATGACACCCAGAACTGGACCACAACCAGGCTTCGAGCATGAGTATGTTTAAAATGTATCTTGTGTATCCTATCCAGCAAACATGTTGTCTACACAGAATTAGAAAGCCAGGTGAAAGTGAGAAACACAGTACCATGAAATTAATGTTGTCCTTCTGCTTTGAAAAATAACAAAAGTTCATGCTTGCGCAAATAATTAGGCTAAGTAGTCTTAGGCTCCCAATAAATGCAATTCTATTTTAATTATACCGGTAAATGACTTTTTTATGTTCACTGTGAATCCATCAATGTTTAAAAACTTCACAATAAAAGAAAAGTAAGCAGTTTATTAGAAATTTATACCTGAGACCTCCAAGTCTGCATCACTGATCATCTTGTTAAAAGCCCATTTGATCTGCCAGTGGTTACTATTCATTTCTGTAATTTCTTTGGCCTAATTCCAGGAAGCTAGAGATAAAGTATCTCTGCACAGAGTTACGTATCTAATGTTGAGTTATGGGAACCTGAAAGATGATGGCAATATATAAAAACAGTATGTGTTATAAGCTAAAAATTAAAAGGACATTACATGTTTTTAACAAAATAACAACCCTTACCCCATAAACAATGTATGTATCAAGTTATTTTCTGAACAAGAGCATTTTAACCAACTGAGTGATCCAGGTAGCGAGCAGGGTCAGGACAATATCATTGTTTTCAATAATGGCCCAAAACTGATACTTGAAACATGTGCTTATTATTTTTTTTAAATATACACAAACTCCTAAAACAGCATGCTGGAAATGCTTAGAATCCCACCACATTGTGTTACAGTTGATTTGATTTAGGTATTAAACCTTGATCTGTGTTTCTCTGTAGCCACCCGGCGCCACTGGCAGGAAGCACCCCAGAGATGAGCCGACGGAGCGCCACGTTACCGCACACCTTGGTCTCCAGAACCGCCTCTGCCTCCTCCCCCTCCCTGCAGCGCAGGGTGAGCACAAACCCGTCCAACAGCACCTACGTAAAGAACAAAGGACGCAGATTCAACATCCAGCTAAAGAAAGGTAAGGAACAAGAGACTGGAAAAGTACTTTTGCCGCTGTATTTGTATGACTAAACAATACTCAAGCTAAACAACTTCTATATTAGCATGGAGACCAGTCCAATAGCACTCAAACTGTATGGGGTCTTTCTGGCACCTTAAATATATTTATATTTTCTATATTTGTTTGGTATCATGATGCCCAGCAAAGAGCAAGTAGGGCACACCTTTTTTTCTTTAAAGTGTCAACAGTTGATGTTGTTTTCTTAAATGCATACAGCGAATGTTACGGATTGCCTATCAAGAAAACTAAATAAAACTAACTTCCTGGAAAAGTCAATGTGTTGAGTTACTCACATGAGTCACTTGTATTGGCAAACCTGTTTTATAGCGATGAAACTGGTGATGTGCTGAAAATACATCTATTGATCCCCACCTCCAGGAGCATTCAATTGCTATTTTGATCATCAAGCAGCTGAAACCAGTTCATCCTTCAAGTGAAGAGCAGATGGATATAGCACCTGTCTCTCTTGTTTCTATTTGTGCCTCTATTACCAATGTTCCACTCAGTCACCCGTCTAAACTCCTCATTACAAAGGGCTGTCTCGTGATCTGTATGCATTTTAAATGTAACCAATTGGTTGAGGCAGACAACCTCAAATCTATTAGGAAAATATGTACTTGCCTTGAGACTTTGTTTAAGTGAGCAGGCCAAAAGAAAGCACAGCTCAACCGCTTCTTCAAAACAGAGGTTGTGGTTTGATGCACTCAGGCTACATCACCATGGTCTTGTGGTTGAAATATTAAGATTGAGCAATCAGTCTGCTTGCAGCTGAGGTTGGTTTGTTTGTGGACTTGGACGGGCCTTTGAAACTGGAGCAGTATATCTGAGCCAACCATTGTGTTGGGTTTACTGCCAGACTCCATCTCATTTTCATCACTTCACTATCTGTATATGATTGACAAGCAGTCGGTTGTAAAATGAACCAGTGCTGAGGCGACTAGACTTCTCTTTGTCTCTGGCTCCTTTCTCCTTTTCTCAGTTGAAGGGAGCAGATGTTAAGTTAAACGCTGGCACGGGGAATAGTGCGGCAAGTGAGGGCAGCAGTGCAGGCTGAATGAAACGCGCTCGGGGGAAATGCAGCCGCTCCAATATGTTTGGCGGCGCTCCCCAAGCCCTTCTATCAGAGATGTAGAGTCCTTATACATGTGGGACAGCAATGCAATTTATACTTTTGTGTTTATATGTATCACGTCTTTTTTTCCTGCACACAAGCCTCCCATTTTTAGTGAAACCGCTGTGGGGCGATGTTGGTGGAGGTCCAGCAGCTCTAGAGGACTGATGCCAGCAGTTTATTTAATTTTTACAAGCCATTTCATGGTTTCATTCAACACTGGCCATAACTCTCAAAAGTATGCTCATGCCAGAGTGACAGAAATGGTTTCTGAGATTATTGCTCATGATTTAAATGGGGCTTACAGGAATGGATGTGCCTCGCTTCTTCAAGCCATTCGTGAACTCTAAATGGGTATGAAATATTGTCCAAATATTGTTGAATTGGAAACCTAACTGAGCATTCAAATCCAAAAGAGTTGAAGGAAGTGTGCCCCTGAAGTCCATTTTGACAATTCCATTTGATTACTAACAGACTTTATCACTACTAATGTACTTTGAAAAAGGCTTCGGCACTTTTGTTATTGACACATTGTAATTGTTGTGATTCGGCCTAAGTGAGTTCCGAGTGGCAAGAGCAGATATTGCCTGGCAAATTATCAAGAGTGCCGTAATCAAATGCTGCATTCGAAAAGGACATACGCACCCCATTAAGTCATTCTAATGTGCCTCAGCCTCTCCTCATGTTCGCTGTTTAATTGGACTACTGGAGCCAGGATTCCAACTAATCCTTAAAGGATGCATTTACTTTTATCCTTCCTCTTCCATTGCCCAAAATAAAGACGTCAGCGTTTAATCACTGCAGGCCTGCTACAGATGCATTCTCTTAATTGCCTGATTGGAGAGTGTTAATGACGGGATCTTACAATGGGCAGGAGTTTGATTCTGCTCATTAGGCCGTGAGCAGGCCAGATGAGAGGAAAGGCACCGACATGGGAGGGGGGTTACAGTGGAAAGGGGAACAAAGACAGTGATGAAGAGGTTTTGAAAAGGGCACCACCAACTGCAGCTTAATCAGATCTGAATCTATAAGACAGAGGTGCAGTAGGATATCACCGACCATGTAGTAGTTTAGAAAGGACTGGACTCACATATGTCTTCTTGTATTAGTCTCTGTAGTTTAATTTTGAGTATAGCAAATGCACTTACTGATTGCCATGGCTGCGGTGTGACCTTGTATTAAAAGTTTTTCATTGAAGAAGTCAAGCTCGGCACATTTAACATTCCACATAAGGCAGCTATTTCTATCTGCTTAGTTATCATGCAGCATTGATGGAGAGATCACTGCACGTCATTATCCTCAACAGCTCAACTTTTTGACTTTAGAAGCGGCCCCTTCATCACCTTTCCCGCAAGTTTGTTTGTGAGGAGGGCACGAGAAAAGTTAGCATCCGCGCTTCTCGCTCTTTGTGTTTCTTGTTCATCAACGCCATCACTGTCAGCGAGACGACAGAGAGTTTGTCAGACTGCTGCAGAAGAGACATACTGGGAAAAGTAGGTCATGATGAACCATCCGAGGTGCTGACAGCTCTGTGAAATGAGCAGCTACTTTCACATGAATACTAATCTCTGTTGTTAGCATCAAAAAAGCCCCCTATGAAACCACATCGCGCAACTTTTCTATGTGTCTGCTAGAAACGCCAGCGGCTAGGTTATGCATGGCGGAATTGATCTCTTTGAACACTGTATTTAATGACTCATCTAATTGTGTTATGAAGCAAGGTTGTTGAATTTGTTTATGTTTTGTCAAAGATTAACCTGACAAACGCAATTTATTTGGTTAACTTCATTCCCGAGCTGACATTTAAAACCATTTCAGGCTTTTATTTGACAAATTCAGGTCTGGTCAGCAGAAAAGGTCAGGCCTGAGATCCCCTTATTTATCTGTTATTTTATTTACTTACTTCCTCAAGAGCAGCAATTCATATTCATTTGATAAACATTAAAGGTCAGTCTTAAAACCCAAATCAAATAACTCTCACAGCTGCTATATGAGGTGCTTTCTCATAATCAGCTGTTGAATATAGCCTTACCAGTCATTGCACTCCAAAAAGGCATGTAGATTTGTTTATTGATACATTAGGAAGCTATTAATGAACACTAATTGAACACTGCTTTCTACATTATGCCCACTTCAAACCATCTCTACATATATAGTATAAGATTACTCTGACCCAGACTTGCCCTGCCATTGTACCGTGAAGTATGAAGGGTTTTTCGGTTCAAACATCTGGCTAATGGTACTTTTTGCTTTTTTAGATGTAGTGCACGACTGTGTATTGAACGGCATTTTAATGCATTTTGCAATCCATAATCATTCACTTTCCTCTGCTTATTCTGGTCCCAGCCAGTCTTTAATCCGACCACAACTTGCGAGAGCGGTTATAAGTCCACATGCGCTTATCATAAACACTCAATTTTGGTTCATAGCATTGACACTATATTTAGAGTTAGGGACACATTTTCATCTGGACTTCCCTAAAAGAAACGTGCTTGAGACACACCCTGATGGCAAAGATGGAAGTAAGTCTGTTTATATTAACTATAGGAGGTTCAGCACATGGTGGAAAACCATAATTTCATCCCTGCATAGTGGTTTCATATGTTACAGTGGTGTATAATGAAAAGGTTCTTTAAGAAATGGTTTAAAATGTCTGGCCAGTTTTTATAGAGTCACTAAAAATGCACTATGATGTTTGGTACAACATGTTTGCATTCCTTCTGACTTTAATTAGAAATAACAATAAGGAGATACGCATTATTTATTTTATAATGCATACAAAGGAACTACACATCCACTTATGTTCCATTATTTACAAATGTTTATTAGATATTAAAAAAAGTAAGTGACTTTTGAAATGAAAACATGAACATCTGAAACTATATCTACCTTAAGGAACAAATCTTGACATGTATGAACTCATATTGAGGTGCACTTAAACATAAACACACGTATTTCTATCTATTCAGACTGATATCACTTCCACAAGGTTGTAAATCAGTAATATCACTATAATTATTCTTTGATTGCACAGTGTGGGAGCATGTGAGTGGCAATCCTTCAATTTGACTGCCTATGTTCATTCAAACCTGCTTTACAAAACACTCTTGATAAAGTGTCCTTCAGCAAGTGAACTCAAGGACTGATGTTAGGAAACCTCTGAATGAGAGTAAGTTATCACCTTAGCTTTCTAACTATCTGCTTTTCATTGTTTCTAGGTCCTGAGGGTCTCGGCTTCAGCATCACATCCAGGGACGTCCCCATTGGTGGCAGTGCTCCCATTTATGTCAAAAACATCCTTCCTCGAGGGGCCGCTATCCAAGATGGCCGATTGAAAGCTGGAGACCGGCTGCTGGAGGTGGGGCAGCACTTTCTAGCAACCTCTAACCATCGCTCTGTGAAATTGCACATTATTTCAGACAATGAATTAATTACTCTGTTGCTGATATGGGTTTGTTCCAAAATGTAATCTTACAGAGCTTTTGTTGAAATGATTAAAACACGCATTGTTCCCTCTGGCTATACACATTCAGCTCCAGCTTCGAATAACTGAGGAAAGTGGATAGATTTTACAATATTTTGATTATTCTTTAATAAGACTGACGTGAAAATCAGCTGGTGCTCACTCTAATACCAGCAGCAACTGGCTCAGTTGGTATTCTGCATAAAGGTTATGTGGAGGACACAGATTACCCCCTCGTCAAAGTCAGGGCTCTGTGATTTCTTTTTTGTTGAATTTATGTTTACATTTCTTTGACATGTATATTGTGCACATTTGAATATTTATGATTTTCATGTATTTGTTTTGATGTGCAGGTAAGTGGCGTGGATCTGAATGGAAAGAGCCAGGAAGAGGTGGTGGCCCTGCTCCGAGCCACGCCCATGGGAGGGACTGTGAACCTGTTGGTGATTCGCCCAGAGGACTCCCTGCTGCCTCGAGAAGTGGTCAGTATTACCTCACTTTATGACCTATTTACTTCACTGCTGCTAAAAAAAGAATATCGGCAACACATTGGAATTTGGATTAGTTATAATAATCCAGAAATTACTTTACTTACCGTCACTGTGGCTGCACCTGTGTGCATTCAACTGCTCAATCAACCCATCAACCCTTCTATTTGTCTATCCTTCCAATTCATGATGTTTTGTTAATTAAACCAGTGTCATATTTGTTCAAATAAGTTGATTGCTACTCTACCGATAAGTATTTAAGGCTACAAAATACTTCTCCTAAAAATGTGTAGTTAAGCTGTTACCGGGCTAACAAAGTACACCTACACCTTTATATTCACCAGCCCCCCCAATTTTACCACAACAAAATGAGAGCTGAGAATCACATGAATGCACATGGTTTCAAAAGGAAAAACGTGAACCTAACCAATCCCTCAGTTACCAATCTTTCTCTCACACACTCACATTGAAACACAGACTTATTTCTGAACCTTTTCAATTAATGGAAGTCATTTGAGCAAGGCACAATTGCAGCTCTTAGCATATGCAGACACTCACATGAACAGGGACAGTAACATGCACAAATTGATTATGCACACAAACCCACTCTGGCTCTCAGACACACAGTCTACATACAGGGTGACTTTGGCTGTCGTGCAACAGATGGTGAGGCTACTGCCCCCGTCCAGCCTGCGCTCCGTCCCTCTGACAGCAGGCTCTGGCGGCGCAGCACCTTGGCAGTCCAGGGGCCCCTAATGCCAACCTCACTCCTGCACATAGTACTCAGCCTGGCACCCAGGCTGTTAACCCCGCCATAGGATGTTCAACCTGTAGAGAAATTGCCCTCTGAGACACATTTTACTCCACTACAGCTTCACGTTTATTTGTAACATTTATAAAATGGCAAGGGGGCTCACATTATATTCATATTTGTATTAAGGGAGTTATAAAATTTACATTTTTACAATATTACTCATTGAAATTAAGTGTAAAGGCAACTTAAAGGTCACCTATTATGCAAAATCCACTTTTTCATGTCTTTTATACATAAATGTGTCCCCTCTGTGTAAAGGGATTCTGAACGTTTCAGGAAAAAAGACCCCCTCTCTTTTTGTCCCGATCCATTTATATAAAAACTTGTCTTTTGGCCACTTTATGATGTCATAACGTTTTTTTGGCTTGTGTAACCATTAGCCTATCACCAACCAAGGTAACACCCCCCAACCGTATGACCTGAATCTCCTCCTAGAGCACCTTTGTGGGTTTTCTAGACCAAATATCTTGCAGAAGGGCGTGGCACCTTATTTTCATCTAAAGTAATAGACAGAGAATCAGCACTTTTGAAACAGGGCTGAAACAGAGGGGTTTATGGGATGCTACAATGGGTGATCTGTTTGGTATTTTGAACAAAACCCTTCAGAGACATGTTTTGTATACTGTATATCTGAGACATATAATCTATTGATGAAAAACAGTATAATAGGGGACCTTTTAATGTACACAATTTCATTTCCTGCTCCAGCCATTGAACCTCTGACCTTCAGGTGACTCAGCAGGCTTTGTATTCATTGCGGCAAAATCTAAATTCTATCTGGAGGGATGCACCAAACTGATTCATACCTCTTGTCGGCAGCCCGGTCAGAAGTTGAAAGATGCTGAAAGTGGTGTTAGTGGTGGGGCTGCCCCTGGGCTGTGACTCACGAGAGGCGCGCTGTGAGAGCTTGATGGCCACACTCCCTAAGCTCCTAAGGCATGACGCAATCAGAAAAAGCCCATCATTGAAACGCTGTCTAATAACCTCTCTCTGTTTATGTATTTTTTCTCTCGTTTCGTCAACTTCTACAAGCTATGAGATGCTGCTATACTCGATATGGCATTGCTTTCCAAGTCATATCACTATCACTTTCCACTCACTCACTTACTGTTCCTTTTTTCTTATCCTCTCCGTACTTTTTGCGACATTTCCCAGCAGTGCTTTCACAAATCTCAATAATCCCTAAGAGTATGTTCGTAAAAATCAGATAAGGAGGCCAAGGCTCTGCCGGTGACAGTTATTGCAAATAAAGCATGGAGGAAAAGCATGGTTGGTAATTGCCTCCTCTGTCACACACTTTGAATTGGTGCATTAGTGTTAGTGTGGGAGCGTGCGTGTGTACATGCTACACACCTCAGACACACAAGTATAGACAATCCTTTACAGTACGCGCTGTCATTCATTGAATTCCCTCAATGACAATGCGATGATGTTTTAAATTGTAGCGTGAGTGACATGCCTTCAGAGTTGCAGGCATCTGTCAAAGACGTATAGCCTCATACACACACACGCACGCACGCACGCACGCACGCACGCACGCACGCACACACACACACACACACACACACACACAATAGCATCAGATTTAGCCGTATAGATGAAAATAGCAAGGAACCATTTTTTTGTCTAGTTGACATTTGCCTGCCGATGTTTAATGTCAGCGCAAAAAATCCCTCCACGTCATCTTTTGTTTTGATGTTTTATTGTATGCCGGTGCGTACTGCACGCGCCCCCAAAGGGATTCATTTACCCTCACAGCATGTTTGGCATAGTGTCTTTAATTACCACGGTTGGGTGTATTTTGACATGCTTTCAGTAGCAATAGCAGTAGCTTTCGATAGCTTTCAATAAATATGTACTCGCTGCAAAGAGAAAAGGTTAAATGGCAATAGAGCAGAGTGGAGTGTTGTCTCTGTGATTCCCCCCCGTCTTTGCCTGTCTGCTTACCTCTCAGGATATCGATAGACATTTTCAGGAGGATACAGTATGTTGTATCTGGGAAGTAGAGCAGCTTTAACCTTTACCAAACACTGGACTCATCTCTAATAAGCTTGCCCTTTCATACCTCTTTCCCCTCTCTTGAACCTTTACCCTCCACCATAATAGACATTTATAATATTCCTAACATTGATATTTTAAACTCTTTGCCTCTGTTGTGTTGTGCAAGTTTGGATCTACTGTATAGGACGACCATGTTACCTTGAGGTGAGTAGAAAGAAAGAAGAGTATAGTGATGACAGGGTTCTTTCTAAAAGTTCAGCTCAAACCCTGCAGACCAAGTCGGAGCGCTGATCAAAAGCCACTTTATGCTGTGTTATTCCTTCACTTGACAGCTCGGGGAGTTTGCATCAATTTTTTTTTTAAGGCAGACTAAAGGGAGGAAGTCAAAAGGATTGCTGCCCCCTACGGGTTTGGAGGCTAACTCATCATTTTCATCATAAAAGGAGGTTGCTTTGCAGCAGGAGAAAGACTTTGTCAGGAATCCCTCGGTGTATGAATATGAGTGCGTTGTCATCTCTAGAAAACGTAATGAATCATCTTTGATTGCTTGTGTCTGGTGAAAGTAACCGGAGAAAGAGTTAATCTGACATAAAGAGACTTAGGAATGGGGTTAGAGCAGCAACAGTTAAATAAAAAGGGACATTTTAATGGAAAAATATCCTCAATTTAAACATGAATGGATAAGAAATAGTGTTTGATTTTGACTCGGCTGTTTCCTCTATGTCACCAATCCCTGCTTCAATCACCTGCCTGGTAACACTGACCAAATTAAGGCTCAATAGTAAAGTTATTTTTCAAAGCATCCTCAGCCACATTAAAAATAAACATCACTGAAATTCCCACACGTAAGCAAGAAAGGCACGTATACACTTCCCACGCATTGCCAGTGAAGGTTTTTTATTGTTGGCATTTATCTCCCAGCGTGCAGCACTGTTTGTGTTTACAGATCTGAGCGACATTGAGCCTTTAGTCCACAGCCAGCAGCTTTGTGAAGTAGAGATTGTTTCTCAGCTCCCTTTTTTCCTGAAATAACCAAGTCAAATGTCACGCTTCAATGTGCAACAAGCAATGGTAACAATTTAAGAAATTAGGTAACATGCCCTGCCAGTGATGGAAATGTACGTTAATGCACCTAGTAGGAAATATAGTTATAAACCCCTTGTTACAAGTGGGTGAATTTGTCTGTTCATGCAAATATTTAAAACACCACAAATGCCTGATATAAAACCTTAACAATCTAAAACCTGACACACAGTATGGGCTTCATTAGTCGCATATGCTCGAGGGCCATAATAACGTTGTCCATGCTTGCCCTAACATCATTGCATGACCCGGGATGAGCAGTATTTTTTTTTACTTCCAATGGGACTATGGGCCGTGGAGAACAAATGGGCTTGTGAAGCTGCTGTTGTAACACCGTGGACCACATAAGAGCAATTAAACAGTACATTAAAATCCCCTCTTTACGATCATATCACACTTGTCACTGATCCATTAGTGGCTATATCTGCCAAGCAATGAGAATCTTAATCGCACAATTAATTTCAGGCCTCTGATTGATGTGACCGCAAAATGTATGGCTCGTGCGAATGCTGGGGTAGGCCGTAGACAGAAGTATGACAGTATTGCTGACAATTATAGCAGACTAATGGCCTGTTTTACAAGTGCCAACCCTGGTGGCCTGGTTTAAAATCCTCAACGTCATGTTTTTACCACTGGACTGTAATTGAGGCATTCAAGAGTACTCCATATTTTTGCACAATTGCTTTGGCTGAAATCCTATTTATATAAGTCCCTTCGAAATAAAGGCATTGGGTTCACTGACATTGAACATACTTCCAAACAAACTCACCATTGTTTTTCTTTTCCAAGTCGAGGCAATCATCATTAGTGTTGCTTTGCAATTATTTACAACAGATGATATCTATGTACCTTTTGTTGATCATTCCACTAACAGTGTTACACAACTGGCTTTTGTTGTACTGCCATCTATTCAATTTGTTGTATTGAGGTTACCATTTATGACCCCCCCTGTTTATAAGTTGAAGACAAGAACAGACTTGTGAAGCTGTATTGATTTCATCACTGCCAAGATCCATTTACCAAGTGGGTAGAGGAAACATGAATTGATTCAAAGCAGAAAAAGATGATCCCGTCTTTGGAGGCAACTATATGATAC